GCAGTGGAATCCAGCCAGGAGTTATAAACAAGAACATATATGACCCACAGCTGTTGCATGGATGCTTTCCACACATACCAAGAGATACAGCAAAGATTCATCTAATAGGGACAAAATGCTAAAATTAAACTACAGAGGCTTCCACAGGAAAGAAAAATCCAGGATTTGGTTTCTATTCTAAGAAATGGTGATGATTATATTTATTGAACCTGACTGTGGTGCATTTCCTTCACAAGAACTGATATTATCAAAACCATGTCTAAATTAAAACATTAGTGCATTTTTATGTAGTACTGATTAAAGTGGGTGGACTGTGGATACTATAATATGAAGGATGACAGCAATCAACATGGATGAAGTGCCAGTAGAAATACAGCAGAAATTCAACAAAGATCAAATGTCAGAGTAAGGGAAAGTGAAGGAAAGAGGAAGACACTAGAAAACATTTCTTGAGAGCAAAAATAAGGTTAAAGGATGATCATTAATGTGCTACTTACACTCCACAGTTATAATGAGGACTGTGCAAACAAATATATAATAAAGAATAATAATAATAGTTGAGTAGCACCAGCTAGGAAGAGGCAACGGACAGTAAAATTGGTCTAATAACAGAGATGTTCTGTTCTGACTGGGGCAAAGGCCTTGGAAGATGCTCAGAGAAAATAGCCATGGAGATTCATGAAAGCTTTTCCTTATTATTATTTTGCAGAGATATTTCTGCCCCTGCACGTGCCCTGAGGCCCATTCAGATTTCCTGAAGATCCTAGAAGATGAAACCTAACTTTGAAACAGGAAGAACTTAAGTGTGGTTTACAATCTTCCGAAGGAAGAGGTGGCTATCTACAGGTCTATCTGTGAAGAGGCTTGGTAGCACTGCTACCACGTCATGGTCCCAGCTCTGACAAGCCACCTTTCCCAAGAATCTCCTGTGCATTTTAAAATATCACTTATGTCTCAACATATTACATTTCAGGTTTTCGTTTCAAAGTATATTCATGTTAGTTTATTGACCAAACAGGATTCTGGATCAGTGTCTTAATAGAGCAGAGAGGGACTGACTGATGGGGGGAGGACAAAATACTGAAATGCTTGGTTTTACACCATGCTAACATATGCACCTCTTATTTTCTGAAACAGAGTTCATTTAGTCAGGATATAAACCATTGTCACTATTGGCAAAACCTGCGCTTACTCATCCACTAATTTATATAGCTGCAGAATTAATAGGATTGATTACAGCTAGCATTTGACTTGATTATATTTTAATTGAAAATGTTCAGATGCATTAGAGATTTTCTACTATCAGCCCTTCAGATGGCAAGAGATGATGAGTCTGATGGAGCTATCAATGCAGCCAACTTTTAAGTGGGGTTTTGACAGTGAGGGTTATCATTACAGGAGACTCTTGAATTCCAGCACGTATTTCACTGGCAGAAAACACTATTGTGTTAACTATTGTTATGTATTCCGTTCAAGTTTCTCACTTGGAAATAGTTATGATTGTCATCCTTGGCCAGGTTTAAACTGACATTTTTATCACAACATTCCTGGCATGGTACTGCAAGTTACTTGCTTGTGAGTAGTTATCAGCTGGCAAAAATTTAAAAGGAGGTTGGCTGGTTAAAATTATATGCCAAGAGCTATACAGAGACAGCAAAATAACCAAAAACAGCCAAAGGCATCAAAGATTCATTTAAAATAAATAAATAAATAAAATCTTTTCAGAGAAAGGAGACATATTCAAGAGAGTCATAAATCGCACATCTTCATTTAATATTTGTCCACCAAAAAGCTAATAATTAAAACTGGGAAGGTTAGGTTGGTCAAGCTTTACAGCTGAGCGCACTCCCTGAGCATGCTCAAATCAAAAGTTATTAGATTAATTTATAAGCTTTTCAAATTCTGAATCTCCAAGGTTTATGCTGTCTGTGCATTGTTTGCATAATGCAGTTTTATACTACTAAAGCACTACCTATAAAGGGAATATTTTCATATTCAGCACATTAAAGATACAGCACAATTCATAGATATCGTACTGTGTTTATGCCTGAAATAGCAGGTAAAGTGTCTCTTGTTCTGATTATCCATGAAGCAAACATAGGAACGTGGATGTTTTGGGAGAGTGTGTATCCTTAGTGAAATTAATTCCCCAATGGTTTTTATTAAAGTCTGTAAATTGCATTATTTTCCCATCATATTTGAAATATTGCACTTCCTTAATGCTCGCTCTAACCCATGGCATGCCATCTTCCCTGGGGTGTCTAGACATGGTGTCTTAGATTTATGTGTATGATCTCAGTGTGTTACAACATCGCTCCTGACTAATGCATTATTACAATACTTACATATATTCCCAAGTGTCACTGTATTGATTAGAAAATCACCAATCTGCATATGCACACCATCTGTGCTACAGAGAAGCAAAACATGCAGGATAACATTTGCCTTACTCAAAGGGAAATTCAGATATTACTAAAAGAACAAATGGGAACCTTTTTTATGTTTTGTTTTGTAAAATAACAAAGAAAATTAATGTTGTTTCTGGAAAACAAAAGTCCATGCCTCTGACAGTTTAAAACAGAAGCCTTTTCCTCTCTACACAGCAAGGAGATTTACCTTTAGTAACAAAATGCAAACAATCTTCCCTTTTAGAGATAGCAAATAACATGGAAGGGAAGCATACTGCTGCAATGAATTTTAAAAATCTCAGCTCAGATGCAAGAAAGAGGACTTTTCAGCAGAAGGGAAGGCAGTTTGCAGCAAGTCCTTTCTCAGCTGAAAGCTGCAAGAGTGGTTGTAAAAGATGAATGAGGCCCTTGCTTACTGGGGTGAAATGCTTTTAAAGGACAAGAATCTGCTTATCTTTGATTGATTGCTTGGTCTGATACTTTCCTTTATAAAGTTTATTGACTACAAGCCCATAAATCAAAGAAAAACAAATCACAGGTTCAATTTTGGGGGCATTGACATCCTGCCATCTTGCAGCAATAGCGTAGAAGTCACAGGGCAGGGAAGATGAGGGATATGGGGAACTCACGGAGACAAAAGCATTTCAGGTAAACTATTACTTCAAATGTTTGTAAATGATTATTCAATTCAGCCCTATAACATTTTTAAGTCAAGAGAAAAATGTAGATAACCAAGCTACCCAGATTATTTTTTAAAGTCCTTAAATGCAGAATTTACAATTAACAGACATACTTTTCACTGTATTGCTTTGTGTCTCTCCGGTTCTGCAAGATTACAGTCACGTTCCCACACATCCCTCACCCTCTGTAAGGATGTTACATTTACAATTTAAACTATCAAAGAAAGAATCAGGTTTCTTTCAGGGGGATTTGAGGGATTGGGAAGCTCAAAATCTCTATACTGAAACACGCCATACAGTTGCATGTAAGGAAAGCACTAGCCATAGATCTTGCTCATATGGGGTATACAGTATAATATGACAGCATGATAATACAGATTAATTTGTGCTGTTGACCTTGACACACTATTCTATTGTGTCTTCTTTTAAAGTCAGCACTCGGGTCACTAGAACATCTGGTGTTTAACAAAAAATCCCATTTTGAAGTGCTAAATGTGTTGAAACAAATGGTACTGTACTATCATTATACAGTGCAACCTCTCTGCTAGGGGTCTAATTTCAAGGCTACTCTGACTGAACTACATTATTATTAGTGGTTTTATAATTCACATCTTGCCACAGTACACAAAATACCTAATTATCAAAAGTAGCCTTTTAAAAGCTGGACTGTGTTCCTTGTAACCGGGACTGATGGTCGCTTTCTTTTCATTTTATCTTTGGAGACATCTGGAAGGGCTCAGCCTGGACACTGCTGAACGTGCTGGCCTCAACCCAGCAGAGCACTTTAGCATGCACATATATTTATATATACAAATAGCCCCCTATATTTCAGCAGGACATGCTTTTAAGTTGTGTGCACGCTAGACTACCTTGCTGAATGTACGAACTGTGTTCACCATATCAGCTAGAAATTGCACAGCACTCAGTATTGCATCCTTTCTGTTTTACACCCTGTTATTTTCAGCTTGTGCTCAAATCTAACCTAGTGCTCAGTGCTGTGAAAGGCTGAGGCAGCCTTTTGGGAAGACACTGAAGATCAGGGAGGAGACGATCAGTAGCAAAGAGTAAGCAGCTTTTTTTTTTTTCACAGGAGAATTTCCATGATGTTTAGTATGAAAAAGAAAAAGCAAAGGGTGATGACTCTGCCCTAGAAGGTATCCCAGAGCCTTACCACCCCTCTGACACCACTGTCATCCCCACGCCTCTCCCACTGCTCCACCAGCTCTCTGTTTCCCAGCAGAGATTCTCCATGTAACCACACAGGTTGTCTCTGCAGGATCCCAGGGAATCTCAGAAAGCTTCTGCTGAAAGGACGAACGTTTTCGGTCTGATGACCTTTACCTGACCTGAAGCAGATTGCAAGGTCTCCTAGCATTTCAATTTTTCCAGTTATCAGGGAGGCACACCACCCAAGGTGGGCTCTTCTGACTGTCTTGTGTTTGTGCCGTGAGTCACAGTGGGCAGATTCTTCCCCACTTCACAAATTTGGCAGCCATTTATGCCCCAGCAAAGCAAGTATGAAATATTACTACTCTACTTTTTCACCTCATGTGCCCTTGCTCTGCAAGTGCAGGCAGAAAGGAATTAGCTCTGAGAAATACACCAGTAGCTGAGTACTACATATCTGACATGTCAACCTTTATTTTTATAAGGTGGAAAAAATCCCTGCAATCAAGAACATGGAAAATTACTACAGTCATCTATGAACGAAAACATGTGATTCCCAGTGCCTGAGAAGGGACTGGTACCTCCAGCTGTTGAGAAAAGGGAACCCTGACAAGGCAAGCATGCAGGTGTATTTGTAAAGAGCAAGGGATGTGCATGCTGAGGCAGGCAAAGAAGGGGCAACAGGAAGGGGGTCGAGGTCATTCAACACAGGAAACTAACGGCCCAGAAAATGTCTTTGACTCACAGCAGGGCTGGAGGAGGAGCAGGTGGCTGTTGTGCTGTGATTTGGGCCAAGGTGAAGTAATTTCCAGTTGTCTTAAATGAGATTTCTGCCACGACGTCCAAGCTGATCTCCATGAGAAGTTTATATATGGTTACTGAAAAGAAGAAAAAAAGAAAAAAAGACTAACACCAATGAATGAGAAGACAGCATCGAGCAATCAGTTGCCAAAGACCTAATCTCATTAACTCCTAAGATTTCAGCCATCGGTCTGTAGCTGTCAGCTAGTGGAGAACTGAGTACAATGAGACATCTTTTAAACATTATTTTTTTCAGGACATCTTCCTGATCTTTTATACTTGTTTGTTCTGCAGTTTCTTAGAAGTTACAACTGCTGAAGGAAGTAGAGAAAATCCAGAAAAAAAAAAAAATATAACCTGCTCTCCTATGCAGCTTCATGCCGCTGGGTCAGTGATTAACAAAGACAAGGTCCGACTGCAGGGAAGCTAAATGGAGTTCATTATGGACATGAAAGTTAGCAGGGCCAAAAAGGTGAGACTATAGGAAAGAGGATGAAATAAGAGCCTAACAAGTGTGGATTTTACTTCCTCGGTGCAATAAGGACAGCTTTTAACTACCAACTACTCTAAAAAAAAAAAAAAACCTAGATAATAGTGCCTTTAAGATAGGTACTGTCCTATATACTATATTATACTGTTTTGTATATACTCAGGAAAATTAAAATTATAATGTATTACTTTAAAAATTGTGTTGTTCTGCAATGAGTAATCTTTGTCTTACAGACTGAAAAATTGGTTTTGCACTTTTTCCTCGTAAAAATAGGAAAATGAAAAGAAAGAAGAATAGCATTTAAGTGGAGCAGAATTATGTCATTAAACCTGGATGGAGACACCTTCCTCAAAACCCCACAAAACTACAAGTTTGTCACCAGTGCTCATTGTTTGAGTGCCTTGGGAATGCCAGGGCTTCCTGGGGGTACTTCACAGTAGCAAACTGCCTAGAAAAGGACACTACAACTTGCTCCTATGCACACTGACTGGCACTACAGCCAGCAGACACGGAGACACAACATCATATTCTTAGCCCTGGAGTCTGTGAGTGATAGCCTGTGTCTCACTCACAGATAATTTTTGGCCACACACTGAAGTACCAGGTACCTGAGCAACACACAGAGGGACAGCTCTTACAGCATGTCATATTTTCTCCCCAAAATTGACAGTAAGTAATCGCTCTTTCAGGACTACTTCTGGTTTAGGCTATTTCCACTTACTTTGATTTTACCCTGGCACTACTCACTGTTCTTGTCATTTGTTAGACAACTTGAAGTTTTCCGCTATAGCTGCCAATGTCCTGTATTACCAAAGAGCCCAGAAGGCTTCATCACAACGCTCCCAATGTGATGTTTGAGTAGGTGCCAGTCAACTAGTGACCATGAGACGCTGGCCACTGTAGAAGTTGCTTAGAAGTGGAGTTCACCTGTAAAAGGTGTATGTGATGATGAGACTAGAAAATCAAATACTTTTCAAAATAACTTATTTGATTAGTCTAAAAAATCAGGCTCAAGGGAGTTATGAAAAGTAGCAAATCCAAGTCTCACTTAAGCTTCAGTCCACAAGAGACCAAAGACTCCTAGGGAGGAGTGTGTAGGCAAATACCTTTGTCAGATTGTATATCCAGTAACTTCAATGTTTAGATAAATGTTTTCAGGGAAACTAGAGGATGGAATGTGACTTGAGGTCCCCGATTCCAGGATTGCCCAACACCTAGAAAACGGGGAAGAAAAAGGAGAGTGGATAAGTAGCTGATGAATAGTAATATATTACTTGATCCTTGTAAATAACAACCTCAAGGATCTCTGTACAGATCAGCTCTCAGTAATTTTAACCACATATAGTATACCAAAAACATATTTTACTTTATTTCTTTTGTTGCCAATATTTTAGTGTTACATAAGTTATTTCTCTGAATTAATAATCATAGTTGCAATTTTCTGGGAGAGGGGACTTCAGACCTTTTATGGGATACCCTTTAGGAGATGATCTGTTGTCTAAGCAACCCTTAGAATAGGCAGGAAGAATCAGATGTTAGAGTAAATTAATGTGGCATTAACTTGCTTCCAACCACTTGTTAATGGAAGTGAACTCAACAAGCAGCACATCCTAGAAGGGGGAAACAATCCCTCTTTGCACTGTTGTTCAAAGCAAACTTCAAAATAAAGCAAGAGGATGGCCACAAGGAGTTACTTACCATGAGCATTCCATGAACAACCACAGTCTCAGCAGAGAAGACAGAGATGAAACAATGCAAGTCTGAGTAAACTAGACAAGAAGAAAAAGGAACACACGGACAAAAATGTAAACTTTTAGCTATTGTTAACATAAGAATTTTGATGAAACTTCCTAGGACCTTACAGCCACGTTGTTTTTCAGAAGGTGAAGGGCAGTTTGAAATAGGATTCTGTGATTTAAAATTATTAAGTATTTGGGTGATAATCTGACTTGTAATAGCAAAAGACAATCCCCCAAATAATACCAAAATAATAGCAAAAATATTACCATACTGGCACATCGTGATAGTCATTATAAAAATATTGCTAAGCCATATAAGATCTTGAAAATATACTTTTAACCTTGCTCCCACTGTTACACGTTCTCAGACTTGAAGAGAAAATGAAGAACCTAGTTTGTTATTTTGCTCAGATAATAACAGTTATAAAAATAGATTAACTGTCAGTATCATGAATTAATATCACAGAAGTACAGAGGCTCAAATAACAGGCTTAGGCCATAAGCAAAGCAGCAAGAACACAAAGCTTACGCTTTGACCAGGGAAAGGATAGCTGCATCACTGCTGTGGAAAAATGCTTACATAAAATGAAATTTGTTTATAATAATTCTGTGTTCTTTTAAAATCTATGTTTTGTTTTGTTCTACATACAGAGGCAGCTTTTGATGTTAAAGCATAAGGCACTGGCTGCAAAAGCTGATGCTCAAGTTGAAAATCTACAGCTTTTAGTTCACGCTTTCAAATTTTTTTTCTTCCCCCCCTCCCTTTTTTTTAAAAAAAAAAAAAAAAAAAGAACCTCTGAACATCTAAATGATAACATGTTTCAAGTAGCTGCTCCTTCCCTGGAGTTGAACAAAATTGAAAAGATCAAAGTTAGTGCAATCTTGTTCAAAGGTGAAGAGGTGAAATCTTATGTGTGCTGGAGGATCAGAGCAAATAGAAATGTACAATGCTTAGTGAGAGACACCTGAAGCCCACTTTCATCAAGGTACCTCATTTTCATCTGAATTCAGAATGTATCTCATTTTATGGTAAAATAAGGAACAGCACAGGATTAGCTTGGTTACAAAGAAAAGAAGCCCTTCCTTGCCCAACACTGAAATGTAAACATCAGTAAAAGGTGAAAATGGTCAATTTTTTTTAGAATGACTAAGTTCACCACATTAAATTCTATATACCTTCTTTAAGTAGCATTTATATAATTGAGTAAGATGAAGCCATTACACCCACGATGTTTCAAGTATCATAATGCTGTTGATAGTTGAAGATTTTCTTGAAAAAACACCATGTTTTGAAGGGGGCTGCAGAGAGGGACATCTAAAAAGGGTATGTTTTTTTTTTCCATAAAATCTTCATGTGACTGATGTGCCCTGACATAATGTATCACAATGAAATACAGCTGCCAAAAAAGAACTTCAAATGATGCCCTTTTTCTGGGGAGGAAAAAAAAAAAAAAAAAAAAAAAGTGATAAGAAAATAGGTACCTTTTCAGCAGAAGCTTTTAAAGCTTTAAAAGCACGGCAACCAGTAAAAAGGTTCTCAGGTAAAGGCTTCTTTACTCAATTTTGTCTAAGTACCTAGAAGCTAAATGGGGGGAAAAGGGTATGGAAAATAATGTTCCAGCCTTTGTGAGAACTGGAGACATCCTGAACACCAGACACTGTGACACATGAAGACAAGAGGATTTTAATGTCCTTGTCCTACTATGGCATTTTCAAACACACAAGAATATCCATTTCCAGATTAATGGGAATTGTCCTACATTACACTAATAATGCTGATCTGAGAATATTTTAGCATAAACTTGGACTTAAACATGGAAAAATGGTCACAAACATGCAAACATTCAGAAGCTGAAGAGAGATCCACATTTCAATTTTTCTTTTTTGAATACGTAGAATTTCTTTTGCATATTTTCCTGTATTAGGTCTGTTACTATAAGGCTCTCTTAAACTCCAACCTGCACTTTGCTGTCTGAAAGAAGTAAGTATCATTGTAGATATTGTCTATTATGGGTCAAACCTTGACCTGAAAATCAGGTCTGCTCAGGAGTACTATAAAAGTCTTTTATATACAGCCCTCCTAGGAGCTATCCCACACAGGTACCTGCCAAAGTGCGTTTCTCAAGGATTCACCAAGCACACCCACACCCAAATTCCCACTTTTGTTTTCTTTCAAACCTCAATCCTGCCAGAAAATTTTCTAAAACCAGTGTTGAGTCATCCCATGGCAGCTCCAGAAAACAAAACGCTGAAAGTAGAACATGTGGAAGTGCTGGGGTCTGCAAGCTGGTCATGAACAGGGGTTCAGGGATAGAACAGAGACAAAGGTGACAAGATAGCCAATGAAGAGAGATCCAAAGATTAAGAAAGTACATGCAGAAGGTGACTACCTCCAGCATAATACGCTTAGACTGGATGCAACTGAATCTTTTACCAAACTACTACCTTATATTAGGTCAGAAACTACATCGTTCAAACTTCAATACCATATGGATTGTCAATTGGCACACATTTCTACTAGCTTTCCTCTTGGCTACCTTAACATCCACCTTCATCTATCACAAAGTATGATCTAAAATACACATAAGCAGGTCCCAAAGGGGTGACACAATCCACTGGTTCACACATGTTAGCACAGGGTTTAGAGTAGAGAAATCAAGCCCTCATCGTTTCCTCTTTATCTGCGTTCAGGTCACCGTTTCTCATTTTACCTTTGGGGTACAGAAAGAATTGATCTATCATCCTATGTCCATTGCCAGCCTCCTGCAATTATTCTGAGCAGATAACTGTGAAAGTGCTGTAGGTGGACTAAATCTCCTGATGACAAGGAATTTCTATGTGTTTCATAAAAAATGTTACATAGACATAAAATATCTAGGGATCAGTCACGTTGTGCAGCATAGAGTGGCTGACTTGCAAACAGAGGTTGTGCCAACTATGTGTCTTTATGCTTGAGTTCGTTCTGGCACTTTGGTGGCATTTAGATGATCATATTTGCTACTTTGAAAGGGATGACCTGCTGGGATTTCAGGCTTCTTCCTAAGTGCTATGCATCACTGACTTCAGGTTTTCCTTTAACCAAATGTTTCTGCAGTGTTCAGACAGTTCCAACAAACCTCCTAAGCTCCCCTACACCCAGGTGTTTTATGTAAATCATGAACAATGTGTTGCTGTAAGCATGAAGATGGCTTTTAGTCACTGAAGACCACACCAACAGCTCTGTGTTTTGAGGCATGGCTTCTCTTTCCTACGTGACTGTCCCATTCGTCTACAGAACAGAAAACATGCAGCCAGTCACTATTCTGGTACTCATGACAAAGTCTCACAAGGTGAGATAATAGGTCAGATGTATCATACTGTTATTGTTCCTCTCTGTATTTGTATTTGTTATGGACTATAAACCCTGATGATCCCATGAAGGTCTGTGACCATGAATCCCAATTGGCTGAGCAGTGCTATTTCATGGCGAGGCGAGTTTGGTGGTAATGAATTCAGTCAACATAATGATTTCAGTTTCACTGCACTGCTCTGCTTCCTGGGAACCTGCAGAAGATGAGTGGCTGTGTCACGATCATAAATTCAGACACATACAATACTGAAATTTCTTACAGAGCTTTAAGTCCCCATGAAATATCAGACTAATAAATATGGTGATCGTATTTTCTATTTGGCAAACATATTAATTAACCAGGAAAAGTTAATAGAAATATATTCCCAAAAATTATGCAACAGAATTTTTTTTTTTCTTATTCATGGTTATATGAATGCAAAATGCCATGGATTCTTCATCTTTAATACCTAAGGGATTTATAAACATATTGCATCCATAAAACTTGGTTCATCAGTACAGTACACAGCCCAGATATGCATATTTAATTACTCTGAAAGTAATTTACTTGTACAGATGGTGGTATTAGAAGGTCTTGCTTCAATTTAAATTACTTCTATTTGAAAAATAATGTTATTTTGCTATGAATCTTGAGTGAAGAATTCACTCTTATTACAGATGAATAATACTTGACAATTGTAATTAATCTGTGACTAATCTAATACTTCCTCAATAAATATTTTTTTTTTCAAATTTTACAAACCAGAGCATTCTCTTTCCATGAGGATGATCTAGTAGCATTTCATATCCAAACCTCCTTATTCTGAGGGACCCCAATGTGCTCTTGGGGTAAGTGAATAAAAATCCATAGAAGATTTTGTTGAGCACCCCCAAGACTTCCCAAATCAAAGAGACTTTGCAAAATTGTTTGCATCTTCCTGTAAGATTAAGTGGGGATTAAAACAAAAGGGTGCATTTCAGGGAAATACCTGCCAGGCATAAGACTTCAGGAAAACAGTGACTTGATGTACCTGTGGGGAGTTTGGGAAAAGCTTTAATGGGAAAGGATTCAAAATATGTTGCCCTGGCCATGGGCAGGGAGCTCTCGCAGCAGCACCAGCCCCAGGGCCGTGCTGGATGCCCACCCTGCCGCTGCCGCCCCTGCCTCGCACCACCCAGATAGCAGCAATTTCCAGGAGCGAGCATGCAGCAGAGGTAGCAAAAGCTGATAGTGTATTGCATTAACGCTTACACCCTTCCTGGGAAAACATGACTGCTTCTTCAAGCGAGATTGTTTTCTTGTACAGCACTGTAAAAGGTCTACATGTGTTTGTTAGACTTTCTTCAGCGAATGTCCATCTTTATTAAAGCAATGGCTATCTCAGAGGTGGCTGCTGTGGTTGCTATGGTAAGCATTCATGTTTTATTGAAGACTAAATGGCCACAACCCACGTAAAGGACTCCCAAGTGGCCCTAAAATGTGCTCTGCCTTCCCCTTCCCCCACCTCACCTCAGGACAAAACAAATTTTTGACAGTCTATCTGATTTTGAGGGCCTACCCGGAATAAGGCACTTTGTCCCTTCTGTGTAACTTTAATCTTGTGGTCTGGATTTAATACAATAAAAAAAACACTGGGGACCTGATTCAGAGAGCTGGGAAACACCTGAATTTTCCAGCGAGTCCTGGGGGAGCTGGAGGTGGT